AATTATATGACCGAAATGAAGCAACCCGCCTCAACCCTAAACCCTGAACCCCAAACCGCGTCTGGAAGGTTTGGTCTGAGCTTTTGTTTTCTGTGTTGGGGGAGCTGCTTTGGGAGTTGTGTTTGTTGTCCAGTACCTAGGGGTCTTAAAGGTTAACCTTTGGGATCATAAGGGGAATACATTAACCCAAAAAGGTTAGAGGTTACCTACTCTACTACTAAGTTGTAGTTGGGGGGGGGGTGTAGGGAGGCTACATCCATGAAACACGACGAGCTGTGACTTGGGGTTCAAGGCTCGGTTTCAATCACGTCCCTCGCTTTGAGGGCAGTTGGGGCGTGTGTGGGTTACATAAACAGGAGATAGCATTCGTTGAAGCATTGCCCGTTAAACGAATCCATGTGTCGGCTGTGCTGAAACTGCAGACGACGCGATGGTGAGGCCGGCTCTTATAAAACAACTCCCTGACACTTCGTGTATTGATTCGTTGTACTTCGACTAGTACTAGTGGTAGCAGCAGAAGTAGCCGTGGCAGTGGCAGAGGCTGTAACAGTACGGATCTTTACAAACCCTCGTCGCCTGCCTCTGTCTTCGGGCCGACAAGCATGGAGGTTCCGGAATCCTCAGCTCCAGGAATTGAAGGGTGTGGGGGCTCAAACAACTCTACCCCCCACCCCCCCCACCCCCCCTACCACCCTTCCCCCCCCCACCCCACACCCCCTACCCCCCCCCCCCCCCCTCTTCCCCTCAACAGTTGAAGCTGGTTAGTGCTTCTTCTTGAAGCGGTCCACGGGTTTTACATGACTTGAAAAGGGATGAGCTTAAACGGGACGAAAAAGCCCGGCAATGGATCCTAAAGGCGCGCCCCGCGAAATATGTGTTTACGACACCCGGCAACTTTGGCTTGCACAGGATCCCACCGCACCCCTCGCCCCCTACAACAAAACAGTCACAGTGTCCTGAATAGCCCAGCAGACGTACAACACTCAGCGTGTAGGCCGAAAACTTAGTCCCAAAACCCCAGAACTCGAACCAATGGGGTTTCCACGTAACGCCTAGGTTGAGGGTCTAGGATCTATATCGGGGTGCGAGTTGGTGCTGGAGCAACAAATGTCAGGACTGAATACTGTCGACATGTAACATGCAGCAAATGGTCTCATTGCGAACGTCAGCAAACACCTTCTACCTCTACCACCCTAACATTTCAAAGTTGTAACCCACCTGCCCTTGACCTCCAAGAAACAAAGTAGCACAGACATCGGGGCTTCCTGGGAAAAACAGTTGGTTCTTCTACTCATAGACTCACTTCATGAGATAGGCTCGCCACCCGACTAGCAATGCTCAGGGGACGGAAGCAAGGACGCATAAGATTCGGCTGTGGGGGGCTTCACTCGACCTGTTTAGGTGACCCTCTCTGATCCCAAAGGATCCATGTACCTATATAGTATATTCTTGGGCCCCAAAGCTACTATATAGGAACCCCTTTAAGGCCCAAGTATATACTATATAGGTACATGGATCCTTTGGGGATGCAGGCAAGCTTCAATGACGGCATGTCGCCTTGTGCGCTTTTACTGGGGCTGCGATGGATTAAAGGAGAGACCAAAGGAGAGACCCTTCTACGGGACCTCAGGGCTATTTAGGGGCTACTTTAGTACATAGGGACTATATAAAGTACATATATATATATGTATATATATATATATGTATATATATAGGGGCTAATATATAGGGGATAAGATTCAGGTCGGACCTGAAGGGAGCTTAAGATTCAGGTCCCTCCTTGTACCCTGGCATGTTCCCCTATCAAGGACTGTTAGCATAAGGGGGACCATCCCAACTTCTGCCCCTGAACCTACGTTTGCTGCATGCGATCTCCGATGGTCAGCATTGAGGCACCATCAGGGAACTTTGAGGGGGACATTAGCTGGCCCCAAACCCTCTAAGTTCAAGGCTCAGCCTAAACCCTAAACCCTAAACCCTGAACCCTAAACCCTAAGCACTAAACCGAGTAAGGCTCCCACGCTGGGGCCCTATTAGTTGCTGGCTCCTTTGGGCGGATCTCGCTTGGGAGCCTATGGTCATGTCATACCATGTGAGGTTCTCTAAGCATTTAGGTGCTAAACCTTATAAACCTTAAAAATCCAAACCTGGGGTGTAGGATTTTGGGGCTTAGGGTTTGGGAGTGTCCCTAAACCCTAACGCCGAAACTTGAGGCAACCTCTCTGAACTGCTCTCGGCTGCACCAGCCGAGAGCCAGCGCCGAGACACGTCTTCGCCAGCTGCACGGCTTGGGCGGCTGTCCCGTTCATGCCTGAAACCCTAAACCCTGAACCCTAAACCCTAAACCCAAAACCCTAAACCCTCTGCTTAAGAACCCATAAGAAGCAAACGATATTTATCCCTACCATTACCCTTATGAGGTTTTTTTGTTTGTGTTCCCCCCCTCCCCAACTCAAATACTCGGAGGCCTCAGACTGAATTGGAACGGCCTTAGCAACCCAATAGCTGTTCCTTTTAATTTTCGGCCCCTTAAAGCGTCACTTTCGCAGGTAGGTATCGCAAACGATTTGCACTAACACGGATGAGGCAGTTTCGCATCGGGAAACAAGTTTTAAGATCACGTTTGTGTTGGCTAGGCAGGGCCTGGCGTGGGGTTCTTTCGCCACCCCCCCCTCCCAGCCCCTTCGGATTTAAATCTTGGGGGGCTGTCATCCTATCCCGTAACGGAGTCCAAATTTCTGAATTCAGTCTTAACTCTTAAGTCACCTCAACCACCCAAGCCACGGAGCTCCAGGCCACAAAAACTACAACCCCAACTGCAGCCCGTTGAAGCCCCAGAAAAAGCTTCCTAGACAAACTCTCTTCAACCCAAAAAGGACCTAAACCCTAAACCCTAAACCCTAAAACCTAAACCCTAAACCCTAAACCCTAAACCCTAAACCCTAAACCCTAACCCTAAACCCTAAACCCTAAACCCTAGCCCTAAACCCTAAACCCTGAGCCCTAAACCCTAAACCCTAAACCCTAAACCCTAAACCCCTGAGAACCCTCAAAGCTCGGTTCGGCTCCTGCTGTCTGACCCGCAGCATCGCCCTGAGCATAAGGGGCAGGCGAACCCTTTAAAATGGGGGGAGGGGTATGTAGGGTTTAGGGTTTAGGGTTTAGGGTTTAGGGTTTAGGGTTTAGGGTTTAGGGTTTAGGGTTTAGGGTTTAGGGTTTAGGGTTTAGCGTTTAGGGTTTAGGGTTTAGGGTTTAGGGATAGGATTAGGGGGACCCTTGGGGATATACACCCTCTGAATAAGGTCCCTGTTGAAGAGAGCCAGAAGAGAGCTCAGAAGGGCTCCCTTTTAAGGAGTATGGGGGCTAGAGGCTCTTGCTTCTGACGCTGCGCGAAACCTGTGTGGGAAGCCCCTTGTGCTCACGCAAGGGCAACCCAAACAGCAGAACCCTGAACCCTGAACCCTGAACCCTGAACCCTGAACGCTAAACCCCAATAGCCGGCCATCTTGAACGAAAACTGCTCTCTTACACTCCCAAACCCTCGGGCGCAGCTCCCCAATACCTGGACCTTGGGGGGTGCCTTACTGGGGTCCTTATTATCAAGAGAATCCTGCTATCTGGGGTCTATAGTGGGGGTCCCTCAACCCTAAACCCTAAATCCTAAACCCTATTTTCGTAGACCCCTCCCTAGACCTTTGTACCCGTAGAAAGGGTCATGTACCCTGTTGGGGAGATCTCCCTTTTCAAGGTACAAAAGGCTACCTTGTTTCCTGATCCCAGCCGCTGCCCGCAGACATGAGGTTTAGGGTTTAGGGTCTAGGGTTTAGGTTTGGGGTTTTAAACCTAAACCTTAGCGCTCTCTTCAGCCTAATTAAACCCGAAGTTCTGTGCTTTCTTCTCAACGCGGCCGCATGACGGTAGCTCGTTCGATGGAAGGCTGGAGGTAGCCCCCGTAGTTCCATGACATGGGAAAACACGAGGCTGAGCTCGAGCGCCCGCACGGGGTAGGGTATGGGGTTCCGGGTTCAGGGTTTCGGGTGGCCATGTTGGCAAGTGCCGTTTCAGGCTATAAATGAAATGGAGACACATTGTTTGCATCCCTACAATAAAAATTATATTTGAACACCCATTTAAAAATATTATTCTGTTGAACTCCAATGAACCCGAAAATGAACTTTTGGGCAGAAACATATTTCGTTGATGATGAATATCTTTTTGTTGGTGATACATTTTTCATAATTGTAATATTTTACTATGTTATATATATATATGCGTAATACATTAATATTACTATATATATATATATGTATATATATATATATACAGCCTGTGCGGCCTCAAAACTGACATCTGACTCTTCCACCTAGACACTAGGCTACGGGTCCGGCTGCCCCTGTAAAACTGCTGGAGCATCAGCCCTAAACCCTAAACCCTAAAACCTAAACCCTAAACCCTAAACCCTAAACCCTAAACCCTAAACCCTAAACCCTAAACCCCAAACCTTGATTGTGGGCAACGATACCAGCCTCAGCGCGCGCATGCCGTACCCAATGGATATGTCTCAAGATCGGCAGGCTGAGGCCCAGTTTAGGGTTTAGGGGTTAGGGTTTAGGGTTTAGGGTTGAGAAGCACCTTTAAGACATGCCCAAGTGCAAATCCGATTCGGAGCTGCTGTACAGCCTCACCGCGCGCATCTGGTGCACCCTAATCACACCCCTCAAACTGCTCTAGACCAGCTCAGGAGGCCAGGGGAGGCCGTTTTAGATCCCTCCCCCTATACTGAACCCAGACCCCTGGGAGGATTCCAAAACGTAGATCCCCTTAAAGGGCTCCCAAAATGACCCAATAGTGGTAACCTGGTATAGGGCACTCGTTGGGTATAGGGCACTCGTTGGGGGGTTCTATACTTCTTGGCTCCTCCCAGGGGTCTGGGAATATCTTCGGCTTCTCTGCTTGCTGATCCTGTACACTGTACAACACATGGACGAATTCGGGGGGGCTCAGGTGCGGATGCTTGCCGCAGCCTTCTCCTTCCGGGGCACGAGCCACAGGAGCGGCGCGTAGACGACGCAGGCGGTCGCGTAGATCAGGCTCGTGATGACAAAGGTGTACCTGCGCGCCGAGAGTGGTGCTGTGAGTTCTTTGCCAAGATCCTTTGCCCCAAATCCTAGGCTAGGCTAGACTGCTGAAAGCTGCGCCCCGAAACCGGCTCAAAGTCCGATACCTCCCCCCCCTCCCCCTTAACCCTAAACCCTACACCCTAAACCCTAAGCCCTAAACCCTAAACCCCAAACCCTAAACCCCCCCTCCCCCCCCCACCCGCCTGTAGTCATGGGAATCCGACAGCAGTCCACCTAAGAAAGCGCTCCCGCTCCAGGTCATGGAAGTAAGACTCTGGATCGCGTTCCACATGCCACGCTGGGTAGATGGAGTGTAGTCCATCAGAATTGACCTATACTCCACTTATAATTAGGACCATGAAAAAAGAAAGTACTTTTGATATTTTTTGGGGTGGTTATATATATATATATATATATATGTATATACATACACACATAAAATAGGTCTTTTGGGTTTACAAAAAGTAAAACCGAAAAAAGAATCCTAAGGGAGGTATAGTGACCGGTCGATGGGGAAGGTGCTGTTTGCGAAGCCCCCTCGCACCATGAAGAGCAGGAGCAGAAGCGGAAGCCAACTCACCTGGTGCCAGGAAGCTGGGTTTGAGGGCTAAACCCTAAACCCTAAACCCTATACCCTAAACCCAAAACCCAAAACCCAAAACCCTAAATCCCCAGCCCTATTGTAACTATGATTACCACCTGTTACCATTCTTACCATTCGGGTTTGGAATTGTTGAAAGCACCCCGCGAACTGTCGCCGACGGTCCCAAAACCCCAAACCCAAAACCCAAAACCCAAAACCCTAAACCCTAAACCCCAAATCCTAAACCCCGAACCCTACAACCCCGAACTCTCAACCCCTTACCCTCAACCCTAAACCTGGCGCCTCCCCGAGAAGGAAGAGGCAAAGGACGTTGGCACTGAAGAAGCTCAGGGAGGCCTCCAGACGGCTTGTAGGGCCTTAGGGGCCTTCAGGGCTTACAGGGTTTAGGGTTTAGGGTTTAGGGTTTAGGGTTTAGGGTTTAGGGTTTGGATTCTTGGGTTTAGGGTTTAGGGTTTAGGGCTTAGGGCTTAGGGTTTAGGGTTTAGGGTTTAGGGTTTGGATTCGAGGGCTTAGGGGCTGATGCGTGGGGTTTGGGGGTTTGGAGTCTGGGGTTTGGGGTTTGGGGAGTGCTAAACCCTGAGCTTAAGTCCTCAGACGAAAGGAGGCCCCAACAACTCCAAAACCTGCTGAGGGGGTTTAGGGTTTAGAATCCCTGCTAAACCCTAAACCTTCATGTGGTCACTTCTCAAAATTATGGTGTCTGATACAAGTAGGTCTGATTGACGGGCTCCAGAACAGTTCCTTATTAGAACAAACCTGAACACTCTACTCTTACTACCCTAAATCCCTGTAATCCCACCCCTTGAAAGTATAGACAATCTCGAAACCCTACAAACCCTACAAACCCCCTCAACCCTTAAACTCCAACAAAGCTCAAACCCATGAACACGGCAAACACCCTAAACCCTAAACCCTAAACCCTAAACCCTAAACCCTAAACCCTAAACCCTAAACCCTAAACCCTAAACCCTATCAAAACCCTGAACGGCCTGTGGTCGGCCCAAAGGCTTCGCGAGCCGCTCCGTGAACTTCATGAAGAGCGCCTCGATGTAGGTATCCAGAGAGCCCAGGGGTAGGGTTTGGGGTTTGGGGTTTGGGGTTTGGGGTTTGGGGTTTGGGGTTTAGGGTTTAGGGTTTAGGGTTTAGGGTTTAGGGTTTAGGATTTGGAGGGATGAGTTAAGGGTTTGCAGGGGATTTCGGGCTTCTGGAGGGTTTCGTGGGGTTTCTCTAGGGCACTAGAGTTGAGGGTTGAGAGGGCGTTAGAGGGCTTAGGGTTCGGGGTATATAACCCAAGGAGTACAAATCGAGTATGCCTCACTTCATCCCAGGATCCCGGTTTAGGGTATAGGGTGTAGAGTTTAGGGTTTAGGGTTTAGGGTGGGAGCTCTGAGAGGAGGGCTGGGCTTGAAGGAGGCTTCGATTTCTTTGTCGGGCTTGGGGGTGTTGCAAACGTGTGATTGAGGAACCCTCAACCCTCAACCCTCAACCCTCAACCCCTACACCCTAAAACCTAAAGCATGACTTGCCCAGGGCTTGCATCCGCGCCTAAGTGAACGCTGTCTCGCAATTACCAAACCCATTGTCGAAGCCAATTCGGGGGAGGGATAGGGTTTCGGGTTTTTGGGTTTTTTTGGGTTGCCAGGGTTATAGGGTGAATAGGGTTTAGAGGGTTTATTTCGGTTTAGAGGGTTTACAGGGTTCATAGGGTTTAAAGGGCTTCGAGGGTTTAGAGTCTAGAGGGTTTAGGGGCCGAAACTCGATGAGCGGCAATGACCAAAGGATAGGCCGTCTGCAGCAAGCTGATGGCGACTGGCGAAAACTGATGGTCCTGTGCATGGACTCTACAAACCCTCAACCCTCAATCCTTTTGCTGACCCTTATGTCCTACAAATCATTCCGCCTTAAACCCCCAACTCAACCCCCCTCAAACCCAAACGAGCCGCAAAGCCCCTCCAAGCCACCCCCCCAACCTAAATCGTCCCAAATTCGAAGCGAACCTAATCCCCAAAACCCCCCACCCCCCCCCCCCGCCAAGAACATCCCCCTGTCTTGGATGAAGAAGAGGTTGAAGAACTTCACCGTCATCCCGGCGCCAATGCAGGTAATAAAGTCGGCCAAGGCAAGTAGCACCGGCACGTGCTTGCTTCGGAAGCCTCAAAACAGCCTAGAGTCTACCTGGGGAATTGGCATGCCTGGGTGCGTTTAGGGTTTAGGGCTTAGGGCTTAGGGTTTAGGGTTTAGGGCCACATGGGACCCTCTTTACCTGCTGTTTTATGGGTTCGACCAACTAGCTAACGGGTAGTTACTGCTAAACTGTATGTGAACATAGAGTCCCAGGTAGAGTCTAGGGTTTAGGGTTGAGGGTTTAGGGCTAGCTTGCCTTAAGGACCCAAAACCTAGTTTGTGTAGGCATTAGGCTTCGTGATTGGGGTGGGCATGGGGCGCGCAAGACCACAAGGCCATTCAGCCAAGTTGGAGCAAAAAGAGAAGCTGATGACATGTGTTTAGGGTTTAAGGTTTAGGGTTTAAGGTTTAGGGGTTAAGGTTTAAGGTCTAGGGTTTGTGGTTTGGCGTACATTGTGTTCAGGAGCTCAGATATGGCAATCCCAAAACAAAACATCTGTGGTTTGGGTGCCGGGGGATCTAGGAAGAACAGCGCCAGGGGGCTGTAGGTTTAGCGGGCCTCTAAACCCTAACCCCTAAACCCTAAACCCTTAACCCTAAACCCTAAACCCTAAAGATGTAAGCGCATGGTGAGGCCAAGCAACATAGGCATCTGCGAGTGTCCTCCACACCAGAACCATTGGAGGCCTTCCAAAAGGATGAAAGTTGATGATGTGTCTCTGTGTGTGTGTGTGTGTCTGCATGTGTCTGTGAGTGTGTGTGTGTGTGTCTCTCTGTGTGTCTCTGTGTGTCTCTGTGAGTCTCTGTGAGTCTCTGTGTCTGTCTGTCTGTCTGTCGGTCTGTCTGTCTGTCTGTCTGTCTGTCTGTCTGTCTGTCTGTCTGTGCTGTCTGTGCTGTCTGTGTGTGTATGCGTGTCTCTGCGTGTGTGTCTCTGTGTCTGTGTGTGTGTGTGTGTCTGTGTGTGTATGCGTGTCTCTGCGTCTGTGTCTCTGTGTCTCTGTGTCTCTGTGTCTCTGTGTCTCTGTGTCTCTGTGTCTCTGTGTCTCTGTGTCTCTGTGTCTCTGTGTCTCTGTGTCTCTGTGTCTCTGTGTCTCTGTGTCTCTGTGTCTCTGCGTCTCTGCGTCTCTGTGTCTCGGTGTCTCTGTGTCTCGGTGTCTCGGTCTCTGTGTCTCTGTGTCTCTGTGTCTCTGTGTCTCTGTGTCTCTGTGTCTCTGTGTCTCTGTGTGTGTGGGTGTCTCTGTGTGTGTGTGTGTGTCTCTGTGTGTGTGTGTGTGTGTGTGTTGTCTGTGTCCTGTGTGTGGTGTGTGTCTGTGTGTGTGTGTGTGTGGGTGTGGTGTCTGTGTGTGTGTGTGTGTCTGTGTGTGTGTGTGTGTGTTTGTCTGTGTGTTTGTCTGTGGTGTGTGTGTGTGTGTGTGTGTGTGTCTGTGTGTGTGTGTGTGTGTGTGTGTGTGTGTCTGTGTGTGTCTGTGTGGTGTGTGTTGTGTGTGTGTGTGTGTGTGTGTCTGTTGTGTGTGTGTGTGGTGTGTGTGTGTGTGTGTGTGTGTGTGTGTGTGGTGATGCGTGTGTATGTGTGTGTGTGTGTGTGTTGTGTGTGTGTGTGTGTGTGTGTGTGTGTGTGTGTGTGTGTGTGTGTGTGTGTGTGTGTGTGTGTGTGTGTGTGTGTGTGTGTGTGTGTGTGTGTGTGTGTGTGTGTGTGTGTGTGTGTGTGTGTGTGTGTGTGTGTGTGTGTGTGTGTGTGTGTGTGTGTGTGTGTGTCTCTGTGTGTGTGTGTGTCTGTCTGCGTGTGTGTGTGTGTGTGTGTGTGTTCTGCTTTAGAGGGTGTAGGGTCTAGAGTCAAGGTATCTGTTGTAAGCAAAGGGCTTTGTCAGTAGGTGTGGGCAGGGGAGGGTGCGTGCCTGAGCGTCAGCCGTCGATGCTTGCGTGCTTCCTTCTGACTGGGCCGAAGCGACACCTGCCTGCGTGCTGCAGAGGTTTACGGTTTAGGGCTATAAGGGTTATAAGGGTTTCTGCGTGGCTCTCATTCAGCCACAGAGCGCTGGCCTTTGAAAAAAAGTACTTGTACATTTTGGGCCGAGAAATCGAGCCAACCCCTGATCCCTAAAAAACCCGTATAAGCCCTACGTGCCCCTTACTAGCTATACAATGCGGCAAACATCAACCCTGTAACCCCTGTAAACCCTAAACCCTAAACCCTAAACCCTAAACCCTAAACCCTGTAACCCTAAACCCTAAACCCTGCAACCCCAAATCCCAGGTCAGAGCCTCGGCCTCTCTGCTCGCAGGCTCCGTCAGCACGGGATCCTCGAAGAGAAAGAGGGGCAGCAAGGTGGGCAGAAACAGCAGCAGTCCGCCTGCGATCACGATCCTCAGTGCAATCAAGGTTGCATTCTGGCGCCCTTTTGCTACCCCCCCCCAAGGTCTTTTGGGCCTTCTTTTGGGGCTGCTCTTCTTCAAGGGCCCTTGTTGGGGCGAAAAGCCTAAACCCTAAACCCTAAACCCTAAACCCTAAACCCTAAACCCTAAACCCTAAACCCTAAACCCTAAACCCTAAACCCTAACCCTAAACCCTAAACCATCACCACCCCTAGAGGAATTTACCGGCCGGGAGGCCTTCGGGGGGGGGCGGTAAATTAGCATCCGCGTGCGGGAGGGGTCGGTAAATATCCTTGTTTTCGGGCACCCGGGTTGTCTTGTTTTCCGGGTGAGGATTTGTGGTTTTCCGGGAACCCCTCTAACGACGAGGCCGTGTTTTTGGACCTTAGCCGTGCGCCGACCCCGTGGGCCCATCGGCCGGGTGGTGCATTTCTTGGTCCCCGGGGTACCTTGGTGTGTCGTTTTCTGGCTAAGGTTTTTGTGGCTCCCCAGGAACCCTGAAACAACCAGGCATTGGTTTTGGACCTTAGCCGTGCGCCAATCCCTCAGGCACGGTGGGACCATCTAAGGTGCACGGCGTGCGCGCGTCTAAGGTGCACACTGCTCACACACGGTGTTTTTCAGGAGGCTATAGGGCGTGCTTTCCAGGAGGGCTTAGGGCTTAAGGCTTTTTGGGGTTTAGGGGTTTAAAGGTTTTTAGGGTTCAGGGCTTAGCGGCTTTTAGGCTTCAGGGTTTAGGGTCTTTTAGCGTTTAGGGGTTTAGGGTTGAGGTGTTCATAGGGTTTAAGGGTTTAGGGGTTTTTAGGGCTTGGGGCCTTTGGGGTGTAGGGTTTGGGGGTTCTGAGAGTTTAGGGCGGCTTAGGGGTTTTTAAGTTTTGGTCGCACAATCACAGGTAGAACCCAGAAACCCAAATATTTAAACTTGTACAAAAAATGTGCCAAAATGTATCTGAAAAATGTGCCAAAATGTATCTGAAAAATGTGCCTGCGAAAGGCGCATGCAAAAGCAACAAAAAAAGTGCCCAGAAGAAGCAAAAATGCCAAACATGTAGAAAATGGTACAAGCACAAAAATAATCACATTTTTCGAGTGACTACTGCGCCAATGCAAAAGACATCACATTTTCGAGCATATGGCTGTCCACGTGAAATACATTTTTTGGACTCAGTGAGTACATGTCCAAAATCCAGTCACATTTCGGAAACACATGTTGGCACAAATTATTCACAAGAATGATTGTGCCTGATTGCGCCACTAAATTTTAGGGTTTGGGTTTTGGGTTAGGGTTTCGGGTTTAGGGTTTAGGCCCCACGCATGTTGTGATTCTTGCGAGAGGGCAACAACAAAAGCAGAGGGACGGGAGTGTCCGGGACCAAACCCTCGTTCTCGGCTCCGTAAGCCTGGGGAAGTGGTACCGCCCATCTGTGGGCGGCGCTGTGCTCGGCCTGTGAAGTTGAGGTCACGTGTGCCTTGAGGACGCCGGGTGGCTGGAGTACCTGGAGCCTTCCATTGACGTGAAAAAATTGCCTTTCCATGGAAAAGTCATGGACCAAAAACGGCCCGTGAGGCTGTGAAAGTGTTCAATTCGAGGACGTTTGCTTGCAGCGTTTGCTTCCGTTTGTTGAAGCAACAAGAAGCCGGAAGCCACAACCTGGAACCCTGAATTTGCAAACTCAAACAACACGCAAACCTGAAGCCAAGCCATGAAAGCCTGAAGGAAAAGGCGGAAATGGCCAGAAGAAAGGTGGAACTAGCCGCAAAAAAGCGGCAGCCGAGAACCCTGACCTGTAGCTTCACGCTGTCATGGCATCAGAAGCAAACCTCTGGTCGACATTCACTACGCAGGATCCCTGAAGCATTGTGATGGGCGCACTTGCCCTCAACAGGAAAATGGATGATTTTGTTTGTCATGGCTGTTTTGCTCAAACATGCTTGGTTTTGAGCGTCTTGGCTGTTTTTGGTGCAAATATGGCTTGTGGCCGTTTTTTCGCCTTCACAGAGGGTCCAGGTAGTGAAGCCGAGGAAAACAAACCTGCGCGCCGCCAGCGATGGTGTGCCACTTCCCACACACACACACACCCGCGTGCACATTGCGTGTATCCTGGAGCTCGCCGGCTTGCAGAACTACAGAAGTACACACAGGCAGGAACGACAACGATGGGCCCGAGATGTGCACAGCCAGAGCCGGTTGCGTGGTCAGCCGTGAGCTCGGAAAGCAAGAGGGCGCTCCATGATGGCTGGCCAGCTTTGAACCAACCCGGAATTTGTCGCCGAACCCTCCCACAGTGGAATGATTTTACATTGATTACACAAACTCCTGGAAATTTACCGGGAGGAGGGTTTCAGGTCGTTCCACCCTCCCAGTGTGGAATTATTGTCAAACCCTGCCCCGACGGGAATTATTTACCAAACCTACTCCGGGAGGGGGACACCCCCTCCCATAGGTAAATTAGGCCAAGGGGGGGGTGATCCCTAAACCCCCTTTTCAGGCGAGGCTCTTGATTTGGTAGGGCTGCCACTTGTCGCCCAGGAGTGCCAGCCCCAACGCAGAGATACCCGGGCCGCAGGCGCTGCCGATGGTGGTCAGGACCGACTTCGTGACCTGGGACTCTCTTTGCCTACAGGGTTTAGGGTTTAGGGTTTAGGGTTTAGGGTTTAGGGTAACTACCCCTTAAATTAGTAGGTATCACCCAATCAAAGTGCAGGTATTGAGGGAGTCTATATTTACCTACAGTTCAGTCGCAGCTACTCGTTACTTTAGAAGTTAGTAGGTATAACTCCATCAATGTTTTTCTTTTCTTTATAGTAATCTTCGTGTTACTTTATAATTCAAAAAAATAGGTAAAGGGAGTCCCCGGGACGTAGTACGCCGACCGCTCGCCCGCCGGGATGCTGTCGGCAAAGATGGCATCTGTTGCGCTGGAGCTCAGCTCCATGAATGCACCGAAGCTCACCAGCATCACCGTCAGAACGAGCAGCTCGTCCTTACACTCTCCACCCCCCCTTTAGGGTTTAGGGCTTAGGGATTAGGGCCCTGAACCCTAAACCCTAAACCCCCTTTGCCCAAAGGCTGCGACCCTCAAACAGCCCCAAAGCCTTCGAACCCAGAAGCCTCCCTGTCAACTGCCCCCCAAGAAGCCCCGAAGGCCACAAGCCGGGCGTCTGTCAGGACGGCAACGAAGCCTGTGACCACCGCCAGCACGGCTAAGACGCTGGAGCGTCGAACCAGCCACGCACGCTTGGTCGGCTGGCGGTCGACGATGTAGCCGACGGGGATGGCAACGACGAGGCTGGCAAAACACAAGCGAAACAGACTGACATGGGCTCAGCAAGCGATGTACGTACTCTAGAGGGAGTCGGGCCTGCGTCACTTGGCATCAATGAAGCGGGAGAGCATGCCCTTACCACCTCCACCCCCCCCCCCCCCCCAAAAAAAAAAAAAAAAAAGCAAGAAGCAATACAATTGGGTTTCCTGACGAAAACCCTACTAAACCCTAAACCCCAAACCCTAAACCCAAAGAGCACTGAAGGTCCTGGTGAGACCGGACACGCTCTCAGCCACTCCAACAAGGGAATTGGCATGCCTGGGTGCGTTTCGGGTCTAAGGTTTAGGGTTTAGCTGCGATATGGCGTAGAAGCTGTGAGGGTTGGGATGCAGAGTAATCTTCAAAACGAAAAACCACCTTTTAGGTTTAGGGTTTAGGGTTTAGGGTTTAGGGTTTAGGGTTTAGGGTTTAGGGTTTAGGGTTTAGGGTTTAGGGTTTAGGGTTTACTCACTTGCTTCTGGCACCCTCCTTCCGGGGCAGTCCAGAAGAGTTTTCAAATGGGTTCCGAGGCAGGCCCTGACCAGGCCCTTGGGGGTACCCCTTTTCCCTCCCCTAAACCCTAAACCCTAAACCCTAAACCCTAAACCCTAAACCCCAAACCCTAAACCCTAAACCCTACCCTAAACCCTAAACCCTAAACCCGGGGGGCTTTGGGTTTAGGGTGCCTCCTGCAAGGTGGGGGCTTAAGCGCCATCGAGGTGGAGGGCTTAAGCGCCCCCCACCCCCCCGGCAGGTTGACGGTTTAGGGTTTAGGGTTTTAGGGTTTAGGGTCTAGGGTACTTCTAACCCAATTAGAAGTGTAGCTATAACCCACCTGTAGAAGCCCCCTTAAGTACCCTAATAGGGCTGATGATTTTGGTTAGAAGCACAGTTACAATTCGGTGACGAAGTACCATGAACCTCCAAGATGAGTTTAGGGTTTAGGGTTCAAAGCTTCAGGGTTTAGGCATGCAAGGATGAGTGGTTGTTGCAACTTGGTGGTTTATGGTCTACCTCACAAACCCAAAATTCAGAAGCTACTTTGTTGTAGGTCGTAGATCTGACTAGAGTCCCCTATAGATAGGATTCTGAGGTAACCTACAACTTGGGGCGGTTCTTAAGATAGGGTTTAATTAAGGCTCTTCTGGCGTACGAGTAGGCATGTTTCAAGCATACACCTGCAACTCTTGACAGGCTTGCCCAGCCTCACAAAAACCTGTGCGTCGACGTCTCGGTACTTGCGAACTGGTTTATAACCCTAAGGCCCTAAACCCTAAACCCTAAACCCTAAACCCTAAACCCTAAACCCTAAACCCTAAACCTAGAGGGTTTCGGGCCTAGAGGGTTCAAAAAGAACTCGCAGCAACTTCGCCCAGCAGAAAAAACGGAGGCAGCTTGTTCCCAGCTAGCTTCTTCTCCATCAACGCAGCCAACATAGCTTCTCTGAGCAACTTGCACGCAAAATCTCTTGCTCTAGAGGAAGAGAAGCGCGCCCCGCTGTAAATAATCAAGCAGGGCTGAAGGCCCAGGTTTAGGCTTAGGGAACCAAACGGCCCACACAAATTGCCTCGTGCAAACACAGGTGCATGGCCGGGATCAAGCGGGGCCCCTTGGCCAGCCCAGACCCAAGGAGGAACAGGTACCTGAATGGCACGCGCGCGAAGGTGAGGTTAAGGTTCTTGCATCAAAAGGTTTGCTCAGGGCTTAGGTAGATTCCGCGTAGTCCATGGCACCAAAAACCAGGACGGGCTATTCAACCCTATAACCCCTTATCAAGGCCCTTTATGGGGATTATAGGGCCTAGTAGCCTGAATAGCCCATGATGGAATGATCTCAAAGCCCTGTCAACACGCTTCGGGACGTTCGCAAGGTTGCCACTTCAACCAAGATTAGGGGATAGGATTAGGGGGACCCTTGGGGATATAAACCCTCTGAATGAGGTCCCTGCTTAAGAGAGCCAGAAGAGGGTTCAGAAGGGGTTCCCTTTTAAGGGTCCCCCTTATCCTACCTAGGAAAGATGGGAGCCTAGGCATGAACCCAGTAAGAAACCAAGACCCGCCCTCAACCTGGTTTAGGGTTTAGGGATATAGGTTTGGGGTTCAGGGATATAGATTTAGGGGTTAGGGATGCAGGTTTACAGTTTAGGGTTCTACGGTGGAGGGATACAAGGTTTAGGGATATAGGGCTTAGGGTTATACGTAGGCTTTCGGGATTCATAGTTGAGGATACAGGGTTTTCTTGGGCCTTAATCAGGCGCAAGGGTGCTTGTCGAAGACCGGGCCCATGGCCGTTCCCCACGCCAGGGACATCAGGGCTTGGAACGCGATGTTGGCCCGGATGTTCCTCCTCAAAGACAGGCTGCATGGTTCTTGCGTCTCTGTATCTGTGCCCCCCACCCCGTCCCCCCCACCACCCCCACCCCACCCCACACCCCCCTCCCCGACCCGGGCTACCCCGATTCAGGGAATTTGAGCGCAGGGTTTTCGTCAGGGAGTAGGTTTGGCGATATAGGGTCCCAACCCTAAACCCTAAACCCTAAACCTAAACCTTAAACCCTAAACCCTAAAGCTGCCCCAAACTCCGTACCTCCTCCAGTCAGCACGGACCGCTGGTGCGGGCTGGCATTGCGGTTGCTCATCTGCCGGCGACCCCTGGCCCTGTGCGCAGATCTGAGGTTGGAACCATGGGTTAGGGTTTAGGGTTTAGGGTTTAGGGTTTAGGGTTTAGGGTTTAGGGTTTAGGGTTTAGGGTTTAGGGGTTTAGAGTTTAGGGTTTAGGGAGTTCCCTTAGTATGGTCCCATACCCTTACAGGGATCCGAGGTATGGGTCTTTCTCGTATATAGTGTAGATAAGGGTTTATATAACCAGGGACCGAAACTAAGGGCACCTTATGGAGCACAGAAGGAACTTAGGGCTTAGGGCTTAGGGTTTAGGGTTTAGGGTTTAGGGTTTAGGGTAGGGGTGCGAAGGGCCCAGGGGCTCAACACCCAAAGGCCTAACACCTTTAAACCCCTGAACCTTCACTGAGTACACCCCCCAACACAGTCAAGAGGGCGAGGATTTACAGAACCCTAAAACCCTAAAACCCTAAAACCCCAAAACCCCAAAACCCCAAAACCCTAAAACCCTAAAACCCTAAAACCCTAAAAACCTAAAACCCTAAAAAACCCAAACCCAGGACAACCTGCGCACCTCCACACCGGCCAGCTCCACATCGCGGCAGTCGGCCGCCAAAGGCGCCTTCAGTGCCGGCGCGGCATCGGCAGCCATGGCAAGACAGGGGTGGAAGCCGCCGGCTCCGATTCGACTTACCTCCTAGGGAATGAGGGAATGAGGTACCCTAGAGAATCCCTTACAGGGTATATGTAGGGGGCATTGTAGGGTACCTCATCATTCCCTACTAACCGGCAGCAAGTCGAATGGGCTGCTGCGCACTGCTGCGAACGGGTTTTGGGATTTCGGTCTGGGGGGGGGGGCGGGGGGCGGCTTAAAGGTGTATGATCTGAGAGATTTCGGAACACGCGCCATCGACAAAGCCGACATGGCCAACAGGATTCATGCTGGAGATGTTGCAACAGCGTTCTTGCGTGTGAGTGCATTGTTTACCTTCCCGAACCGACCGTTCGGGATACGCTCCCAAATCTGTATCCCCAAACCCTAAACCCTAAACCCCCAAACCCTAAACCCTCAACCCTAACCCCTAACCTTCCGGAAATAATGACAAAACAACACAAACTCTGGAAGGATGACATCCTGAGGTTTCCACGCCAGAGCTGGTGGCCGCATGGACTTTGATGTTGTCCAGGAGGATCTGTGGGGTTTAGGGTTTAGGGTTTAGGGTTTAGGGTTTAGGGTTTAGGGTTTAGGGTTTAGGGTTTAGGGTTTAGGGTTTAGGGTTTAGGGTTTAGGGCTTGTGGTCGAGGGTTTCGGGCTTAGAAGGGCTTGGGGCCTGGGGTTTGGGGTTTCGGGCTTGGGCATGTCCACAGTGGAGATGATGTCCTAGCCCCTAAACCCTATGAAGCCCTTGCAAAGGCCCCAACTATACTGTCAGGAAGGGCTTATCCAGACAGATCCCCAGGACGCCCCGAAAGCTACGTAAACGTGGTAGAAAGCTTGTGCTGCCCCTAAACCCTAAACCCTGAACCCTGAACCCTAAACTAAGCCCGCTCCTACACGCGTTTTTAAACCAAGATAAACCCCAACACGAGAAGGCTGGGGGGTAGGGAGAGGGATCCCTACCATTGACGACTGAGTACTCCCTGGGAAAAGAAGATGAAGTCTCGAGTCTTATTTTTAACCTAAGGTAATGCCCTTGGGTTTGGGGACCCCCTTTTTTCAGGATTCCTAAGGTAAGATAAGAGCTTCGCCCCCTTGGAGGGGGGAGGGGGGGACCCTAAACCCTGAACCCCAAACCCTAAACCTCTATACCAAGAGCCACTAGTCGACAGAATGCTAAGGATCGCAGCCCTCAGGTCTCACCTTCACCAGAAAGCCAACAAGCATTCCCAGCGCGCAAGCTCAGGGCGATTGAAGGGTGTACCTTAAGAACCCCTACCTCAGAGTCTTATGAGGGGAAGTCGTACTCTCAACCTACAACAGGAGGTTTGGGACTGGTAAGGTGGGGTTTTTGCCTGGGCCTTGCTTCGGGGAGTCTGGAACGTGGTGCTCTTAGTTGCTGGGTTCATCCGCCCAAAAAAAGTGTACACTTTCAGCTCTAGAAGGGGTTCTGAGTATCCCAAAAAGTGTAAAAGTGTGCCCACTCCGCTACTCAGTGCTGGTGCCTGCCAATAGGCGGTGGACACCTGTCAGAGGAGGGCGCTGTTCACTCTCATCCATCGTTTTCAACCCCCCAAAGCGCTCTAACACACCGCCTCACCACCTGAACCCTCTATAGGGGATAGGATTAGGGGGACCCTTGGGGATATAGACCCTCTGAATAAGATCCTTGTTTCCCTTTCAAGGGTCCCCCTTATCCTACCTAGGACTCTAGAGACTCTGGAGCGTTGGGTCCTTTTGGTGCCCCGTGTGAGGAAAGCGCGAGTGAATCATAGAAACTAACCAAAAAAAGCCCATAATTCAGATCTGCAGCGACGGATCTAAACCCCCCCATCCTTTAGGGTTTAGGGTTTAGGGTTTAGGGGTTTAGGGTTTAGGGCTAGGAAACCCGCAAGGGCTTACTTTAGTCCATCGCCCCACTCATGTCATGACTCTACACACCTTCAGGCTTCGAGTTCGAGCGGAGAGGGGGGGGGGGGGGGGTGAGGCTTTAGGGTTTGGGTCCCCTAAACCCTAAACCCTAAACCCTAAAACCTAAACCCTAAACCTTGGGGAGGCTAAAAGGGTTCAGGGTTTAGGGTATGAATGATGCTGGCTGCCTTCTGGATGGGGGACGCGCGTCGGCAGAGCCGGCGCATTAGGGCTTGAAGGCCCAGGCAAGAGGTTCAGGGTTCAGGGTTCAGGGTTTAGGGTTTAGGGGTTTTTTGGGTTCCTCTAGGACCTTGTCAAGGCAGAACAACCCCATGTCATGTTCTTGCTCCGAGTCACGACGGGTACGAAGTGGAATGGGCCCTGGAAGTGACGATCATCAACGCCACCCAGCACCAGTTGGCCATCTTCATCATCGCCCAAGAAGAAGCCTGACTGTGGACCATTCTGCACTACACCATATACTATAGCTAGGAGCAACTTGCTAGCCCAGTAAACATATGGCCAAAAGGGGCACCCTCTTTGGAAAGGAGCCTAGAACCCCCCAAAAACAAGGCAAACGGCAAGAACAGCCTGGGGCTCTGTTTTCCTACAGCTTCGTAGTAACCACCCCTTTATTGGTAGGAACTCTCTCCACCTACAGCCCCATGGGTTTTACCCTACTCATTGCAGGGCAGCAACTGCTAAACTGTAGGTGAATAGAGTACCTGGGTAACGACCCCCTGGTTCTTCGTCTGGAATGAGGGAATTCGGGCCCTATATATACCCTTTAAGGGATTATATTCTTAGGGTACCTCATTCCCTCATTCCCAACCAAGAACCAGCCAAACGAGCCCCAGGAAGGCCCATCTAGGGGAGGAGCCGCAGCGGAGGCCAACAAGCACCCTAAACCCTAAACCCTAAACCCTAAACCCTAAACCCTAAACCCCAAACCCTAAACCCTAAACCCCAAACCCTAAACCCTAAACTGGCCCTAAACCTTCCCACAAACATCCCCACAGCCGCAGGCAGGGTTCCCACCCTACAGTCACAAAAAGGCCGGTATCTTTCAGTTTCGTGCATTAGGGTATCTAGAGGACACGGTGTAGGCCCTTAACTCCTTTTTTTGGGTTGGGGTTCCCTCGGAACCCCCTTAAAACCTCAGGCTCCAAGCCCTACCTGGGACCCTATTTAGCTATAGTTTCGTAGTAGTTTAGGGTTTAGGGTTTAGGGTTTAGGGTTTAGGGTTTAGGGTTTAGGGTTTAGGGTTTAGGGTTTAGGGCTTAGCCCTTGAAAAGTAGGAGTAACCCATAGATCTGTAGGTAAACAGAGTGCCAGGTAAACTCTCAACCCTAAACCCCCCCCTGCTTATAACCCACTTATAAGCCCCTTAATTACCCTAACATGGTTATAATGGGGTAAGAAGTGCAGTTACCCTAAGCCCTAAACCCTAAACCCTAAATTTGGTGAGTAAGTACCATGAACCTCCAAGTAGGCCCTAAACCCTAAACCCTAAACCCTAAACCCTAAACCCTAAACCCTAAACCCTAAACCCTAAACCCTAAACCAGGTAGGCCAAGTAAAATCCGCGGAACTGAAAACGGGCTCCTTGAGCCGACGCCCTGCCACAAGGGCCTGTGCGGGAGGATTCGAGGCTTCAGGGTTTTGGGGCTTTGGGGGGCGGAGGAGGGGGGGGGATTTAGGGTTTAGGGTTTAGGGTTTAGGATTAGGGTTTAGGGTTTAGGACTTAGGTATGAGGTTGACAAGGATAAGCCGGAAGCCCAATGCAGCCTAACCAAAACGATAGGGGTTTGGGGACTGTAGGGTTTGGGGGGTCCGGGTTTATACCGTTGGGGCGTCCAGGTCAAAGCTTAGGGTTTAGGGTTTAGGGTGTAGGGTTTAGGGTTTAGGGTTTAGGGTTTAGGGTGACCCGAAACCCCTAAACCCTAAACCCTAAACCCCGAACAATATAAACCGAGGCATGCTGTTCAAACCTCAAACCCTAATACAGCCAAGGGTTTTGGCCTTGCGAATCTTGGAGCCAGAGGCGGCAAACAGTGCAGGAAGCACCCCTAAGCAAGTAAAAAAACTGAAGCTTAGAGCCCTAAACCTTCGTTAAAACCCTACAACCCTAAACCCTAAGCCCTAAGCCCTAAACAATATTGGCTCTTTGAGGCTGGTCGGAGGAGGCACATCAGTAGCCTATGGGGTTTGGGGTTTAGGGTTTGGGGTTCACGGTTTTGGGGTTCAGGGTTTTGGGGTTTGTCTTTTATTTAAGCGGGGCTCAGAGGGGATTCTAACCCGAAGAAAAGCTAACAGGGCCCACTCTGGGTCTTAGGTCACAGGGACACTTGAACCTTTTTCTGCTCACTCCGACACTCGGGTTTTCCTCCGCTGGACAGGACGGGTCATTTAATGACTGCTGTCAGATAAAACTGGCTCCGTACTTACCGGTTGTTTCATCGAACAAATGATAGTCAAAGGTCCTTGTGTAGACGATTATGCGACTTCTTCTAACATACTATACTACGACATATTTTATACTATTACACAAGTATACGATCAGAGGTTTATACTATACTCTTATACTCTTATTATACTCTTGTACACCTGTACTCTTGTACTCTTGTACCCTTATACTCTGATACTCTTTTACTCTTATACTCGTATACGATTACACTATTGCACTAGTCTGTGGCTACACCATTCTTCCCTTGTGCCGTTCTATATAAACAGATACTATTCTACGATTACGTTGTATTCTCATGCTATTGTGCGATTATACTACTATACCGTTCTACCACTGCACAATTCTACAGCTAGACTATCATGCGATGATACTTGTTTTATACTATCATACGGTTACAAATTTATGCTAACAAAACTTGAACACTCTACGATGATATAAGTACGCAACCGATTTATTCTGAAACCAGTAATTCCAGAGCCCTCGTTCAAGATGGGGCGCCCAAGCTTCCAGCGCTTAGCGCAGACGATGGCTTTGGGTGTAGGGTTTCGGGTTGAGGGCTGAGGTACAAATCCTAGCTTTTGTTGAAAGGCCGACACAGCTCCGGGGCCCTAATTCCGAAACTGCAGGTCTGTGTAAGCTCGGGCGCTTGGCGCCAGACTTGTTTGCATTTGCAATGGAAAAGCTGCCCTCACGGCTCGTTGTGCACAAACTCCATGTCCCCATCAACCTCGTGCCCCTGCTGCACGCGCTCGTCCTCAGCATCATCGGCGTCTCCATCGTTGTCTAAACGTCCCCACCACCGTCGGCTTCAGCTCCATCCACCTCAGCATCTTCAGCTTCAGCTCCTCCATCAGCTTCAGCTCCGTCTCCTTCATCCTCTCCAACTCCAGCGTCGGCTTCTTCTCCACCATCTCCACCACCGTCGGCTTCAGCTCCATCGACTTCAGCATCTCCGACTCCACCGTCGGCTTCAGCTCCATCGATGTCCGCATCTCCATCGCCGTCGGCTATGGTGCCGTTCTCATCACCTCCGTGTCCCTCCCCATCTCCACTAGCCTCCGGCCCACGGTCGCAAGTCTGGCAGCAGTAGAGAAGTGCGTTGGTGGTGTTGTTGCAGATGCCCATTTCAAAAACCTTACTGTTGGTGAGTAATAGGGAATGAGGCACCCTATATCCCCCTAAGTAGGGTTTAGGGTTTAGGGTTTAGGGTTTAGGGTTTAGGGTTTAGGGTTTAGGGTTTAGGGTTTAGGGTTTAGGGTTTATACCCTTTAAAGGATTATATAGGGTACCTCATTCCCTCCGCCCCTACTAACCAACAGTAAGAAACACCGCGGCAACTGGTGAAGTGCAGCTCCGGATCGTGCCGCGCCATCTCCTGGCAGCTTCGGGCTTGCTTTTAAACCCTAAACCCTAAACCCTAAACTTTAAACCCTAAACCCTAAACCCTAGGTAGGTATCTGGAGTTCGGGGTATTTGGGCTCTCTGTCTTCTGAAAACCGGCGCCTGGAGCTTCTCGGGTGGCATGTCCTCACAGTACGCATCCGGGCAGCCGCCACCTCTAAGCCCCGGAATGGGTTTAGGGTTTAGGGTTTAGGGTTTAGGGCTTAGGGCTTAGGGCTTAGGGTTTAGGGTTTAGGGTTGAGGGCTGAGGATCTTAGGGTTTAGGGGTTTGGGGTTTAAGGCTAGAGGTTTGCCGGAGCCTAAAACAAGTACCAATGCTGTCCCCTTATACCCCTCCCCCCCATGACGTCTATGCAGGAAGCGACCCGAAATACCGTATACCCAGAGTATCAAATCACACATCTAACCCCCTATACTATTCGCTTTTGCCGTCCTGGGAAGCCCCAAACCCTAAACCGATAAACCCTGTAAACCCTGTAAACCCTTTAAACCGAGAGAAAAGTGGAGTCAAACGAAGCTCTAAGCCCAACAACGCTGCCAGGGGGCAAGTCGCAGGACAAAATTCGGAAAGAGGACTGAAGAACCTGGGTAGCCCAGCAGCCAAGTATCCCTAAAACCCTGAACCCCTTCACCCCAAACCCTCTAAACCCTAAACCCTTCACCGCATTATGGTCAGGGTGCCCTTACCCGGTTAAGGGTTCAGGGTTCAGGGTTCAGGGTTTAGGGTTTAGGGTTTAGGGTTTAGAGGGTTTGAGGTTCACCAAACTTAAATGATTGGTGCCCCTTTGGGGGGTGGGTACTTTACCAGGGAACCTAGGAACGAAAAGGAAACCCTAAACCCTAAACCCTAAACCCTAAACCCTAAACCCTAAACCCTAAACCCTAAACCCTAAACCCTAAACCCTGAACCCTGAACCCTGAACCCTAAACCCTAACCCTAAACCCTAAACCCCTAAACCCCTAAACTGGGCTTCCAAGGAACTGGACGAACCCTGTGCACCAGGCGGATTTCGTCACGGGCTCGATGTAGTAGTCACTGTTCACCAGCGCTCTGCAGCCAACTTCCTCTTGGTGGCCCAGTAACCAGTTTAGGGTTTAGGTTTTAGGGTTTAGGGTTTATGGGTAGCCCAGTAACCATCGTATAATAAAGGCACCCTTTTTGGGGTTGGTTATTTCATCAGAGAAACCATGACCCCCAAAAAAAGGCAAAGGGTACCAGTGGGCTACCAGGTCCTTGAGGATCACAGCGACGCTTGAAAGATAGTCCAGCTGCACCTGCTCTGTGATGCCACTGAAGCTGGCGATCGCAGCAGGATAGCTGTCCTGGGTGCCCAAGAAGCCCGGATGCATGTCATATAGGGGCCAGGCCTTAATGAAAACATAATAGGGTTTTGGGGGTTATTCTAGTACAGCTACATATGAACACCATAAGGCCATAAGGGAATACGATTAGCAACTCGTCCGACCCCTTGAGTACATGATGACTCTCGTATATCATCGAGTTCTTCCTGACTAGGTCGGTCGTCCTGCTTTTAGGGCATACGGGGCAGACTGGTTTTTGGACTCCCGATGGCGCGCGAAACCGGTGTCATGTTCAGTATGGTGCTTGTGTCAGGCTTCTGAAAGCCTAGTCAAGCCTGATTCGCTTCCCTTCTTTGCCGGCCATAGACTGATGTGCAAAGGGATATAGGGTTTAGGGTTTAGGGTTTAGGGTTTTGGCAGCTAAATGGACAGACAGAAGGTGCAGTCAGCACAAGCTCGCGACCAGCTTGCGAAAAAAAAAACTATCCTTGCTCCGAGTCTCCCAGAGGTTGCGCCAGCTCGCATCGTGCGCAGGGGTATCCACCTCAATTTCCCTACTAGGTTTAGGGCCAAGTTTAGGGTTCAGGGTTTAGTGTTTAGGGTTTAGGGTGTACGGTTTAGGGGATACTAACAAACGTACAACCCATTCAAAAAAAAACTGCAGGTAAAGAGAGTCCACACATCCGGTCGGATCCTCGGGCACCTCCACATTAAACTCGCGGCGCCAGCGTAGGCCTCAGAGGAGCCATGTGGGCTTTAGGCTTTACCTGGAACCCTCTTTGCCTACAGTTTTTTATGGGGTTATACATACCTACTCATTTCATTAAAGGGGTAGTTGCTACTGAACTGTAGGTAGATAGAGTCCCAGGTTGAGGAGCAGTTTTGGCTTGAAGTGGCGGGTTTAGGGTCGAGGTTAGGGTGTGCACTGGGAAAGGCCCTGCTGAATGCCGAGCCATAGACCCCACACCCAAAACCCAAAACCCAAAACCCAAAACCCAAAACCCAAAACCCTAAACCTCTCAAATGTACCCGAAAAAGCCCACGGCAACGATGCGAGGGTCGGTCTACCCCAAAACCCTAAACTCAGTTGCCCTCTTTCTTGGTACCTCAACAACCCCACAACCTACAGTTGTGTACGTTACTAGTTGTAGTGTTCTTTGGTAACCTAGAAACAAGTAGATTCTGGGTTCAAAGGTAGGTATAACTCATTCACTGACAAAGCTGCAGGCAAAGGGAGTCACCCGGGTGGACCCTAAGACACGCCGAGAGGCAAACTCGAGAGCAGCCTTGCGCCTCCACCATGAACCATGCCTTGGTTTTGGTTCCGTTTTAGGGTTTAGGGTTTACGGTTTAGGGTTTAGGGTTTTGGGTTTTGTGTTTTGGGTTCTGGGGGGGAGGGGGGTGGCCAGGGGGGGGGGGGGGGAGGGGGGGGGGGGGGGGGGGGGGGGGGGGGGGGGGGGGG